TCTTGGAATTATTAAGAAAATATTAGGCCTAGTTGTTGAATTTGAATAGAGATTGTCTTTTTCAAAATATCTTCATTGGCATTCTTATGTTTTTTAGTTCATTTTTGTATAAAAATTTATTATTTTTCTAGCCACATTTTTGTTGCTAAATTTTTTACTTTTAATATAATATTTCATAAACTCAATTAGCAAAAAATGGTGTTTCTTGAGTAAAATTTATCGTAATATTATACAAAAGTTTTGCTAGTTGCAAGAAAGTTGTCTAGTAGTCTTGGTGATAATTACTAGTACATTAAAAATATTTTTCAGATTTTTTTTTTTTACCTTGTATTTTTTTATAAGTTCTATAATAAAAATTTGAAAATGCACCAATATTAAATTTTATTATATTAAAATTTATCTTCTAAAACATTGACTTAACTAAGGATCTTTAATCAAATATAATATTAGTTGAAATTTATATGTAAATTTAGAAATATTACTAAATATAAATAAATATATTTTAAAATATTATATTTAAAATTATATATTTTAATAAAATAAGAATATTTACAAATGAAGAAATAAAACCATCTAAATAAATTTGAAGAAACCTTGAAAATAAATAAAATAAAGAAAAATGATATAAAGTATTCATTATTATAATGTTTAAAATATATTTGAAAATTATATTTTAAAAATTATAATTATGATTAATCAAAATAAATTTCTACCAAAAAATTTAAATTTTTAAATAAGAAAGATGAAGAAAAAACTATTAAATAAAATTAAATATATTTTTAAAAGAAATTTTTTTTGCTTTAATTTTTGTACTTATATTTTAATAAAAATTATTTTTTATAATTAAATAATTTTAATATAACTAAGAATATTAAAATTAAAATTTATTCAATAAAATTAAATATAAATTTGAATTAATAATTAAATATAAATCTGAATTAATAATTAAATTTTAAAATTTTAAATAAAATTAAAAATATTTTTTTGAATTATCAATCAGAAGTAAATATGTAATTTTTTATTTAATTATAAAAAGTTGAAATTACCTCATAATTCTTTATAAAAAAAACCAAGACTTTATTTTTAAAATTATATCAATGATACAACACTTGATGCTTTAAAGTCTATTTTTAAAAAAAATATCAAATACCTTACCTTAATAGAAGTATAATTGGCATTATTCTACCTAACATTTATTTTTTTTAAAAAATCACATATTATAGAATCAAATTGGCAAATATGAGAGACATTGACAAATTAAAGTTTAAATACAACCAACTTAGGAACAATTTTAATGATGGATGAATATAAAAGTAGACTAACTTTATTCTGCACAATCCATCTTTTAAACTCCTTCATCAATTGGAAATTTAAAATATGAGGAATACAATTTAAAGCATATCTATTTATATAAGACATACATACTTATATACTAACTAGAGGAAATTCATTTAGAAAGCTATATGATTGTCAAAAACGTTTATTGAATCTTTTGTTGCTACTAAAACATTGGTTGTTGATTTTCAAAAAAAAATTGGTTTATGGATTTTTATATTTATATTTTTATTTATTTGTTTTTTTTTGTTACAATCTTCAAAATGGGTTTTTCTACATGTTTACTAAAAATAAAATAAGAGGTACACAAATATTATTGATTCTATTAACATTACATTTTTAAAAAGAGAGCTTCATGTTTTATTCTATTGATGAATTATTTCCTCATAATAGAAGGTCCTTATATACATATATATATATATATATATATATTCATGTATACATACATATACAATATATATAATGGGACTTTTCAAGCAATTACTCTTTGAACTCCATGTTTTCAAATAATAGAATTTGCACATGTTCTATATATTTCCAATGTTCTTGGTGTTCAAAAGACTCCCTCAAGGCTTTATGCTCAGTATAAACACCCACAACTTGTAAAGATTTGATGTTGAGAGTTTGAAAATCCTTCAAAGTGCTAGAATTATTCATTGTCGATGCCACTTGAGAGAAATGGTGATTTTATGAGTATAGCTTTGGATATTCACACTGCAGGGGCTAATCATGTTGACCTTGTTTTATGTACCAAAAGATCCTCTTCCTGAAATGAAAGTTCCAGGAACTAATGGAGTTGCCATTCGACTTTTCCTATAGACTTGTGTGACCAACAAGAACAAGATGAACTTCAGAATCAGCCGCCGTAACATGTCCCGGTGCTCAAAGCCTTCATCCATAACTTAGACTTCGAAAGGGGTAATCGCCTGAAGCTCAGGACATATTGTGCAGTGTGGCAAGGGCGATTATGTATCTCTAGAACTTGCTTCAGCGTGCCTGTTTGTTGCCGATCAATACCGGTCATTCGAGATGGCCTTGATAACTAGTCGCAGGCCTTCTTGTTGCTCAAGTGCTCAACCAGGTCGAAATCGTATCCGGCGAGAACTTTACGGACACCTACCAGGTTGTGGAAGTTTTTCACCTCCTTGAAAACCAAACAACCCGCGGCACAACCTGTATGTGGAAATGCACAATTCAGCCCTAGTGTGAGCAATGCGCAATATTATGGAATACTGATGTGTGTTTTATATGAATGAGACTAATTGGATCTAAAATGCTATCTGAATCTCTCGAGTTCGTCAGGTTGGAATGGAAAGCTCAATAGAATCCAGTGAATCCGACTGAAAACCTCAATTTCTTCCTCAACCGCTGTACCATTGATATCCTGTGCAACTTGGCAAACATCTTCAAGCCACTACAAAATTGCTATCAGCTGAATGTCTGGAAATCTGTGTATTTTTGTAGCATAAACCGTCAATCCAATTTTTTCACTCACCGAAGATTCACGGTAGCGTTCCGTGAATCGTACCACAGTCCACAGTAAAAAAAGAATGAAGCAACTGGGATTTCAGAGCGCCTATCTTTGTCAAGAGCGCGCATTGTGAAACCGTCTGTGAGAAATACATAGTCACTTATCATGTGAAGCCCTTCTTATGCGTGTGTAGCTGTATGAATGAGATGCAGCATTAGTTGGAGACTAAAGCGTGACCTTCATATCACATGGACTACTGCAACGTAAAGGGTTATTGCTGTGAAGACACCCATTAACCAAATGGAAATAGTCATAATCTCGTCAACAAGCGAATGAGGTCCAATCAGACACTACAAATGAAAAATCTAATTTTCTGCATCAGTTTTAAGCTCTTTGCACGTTCACATCTGGAGGATCACTCGTACATTCTCACCCACTTTGGTGTTGTGACTGATGGATGAAGATGTAGTAGCTTTATGGCTCAAAGGTTGCGGAGGCATGTGAGCTTCTGCTCACGTAACCCACAGGAAGTAACGCATCCCCCTTTTGAATGTTCTAACGAGAACTGCAAGCTCACTTCTACGAAAGATACAATTCAGAAGAGGGTGGGCCAGGAGCTTTATTTGCTTATGGGAAAAGTTGGACCAGGTGTTAGGTAAATAGAAAAGTGAGCCTTGTCTGTGAAAAGTGCTGTAAACAATCATTTTGTGTCATGGGTTGGGGTGGTTCTCAACTTTTTCCCTCTCGCTCTGGTGTCCACGATGGAGGTGCTTGTTCCGCTAAGCATGTAGACAAATATTCAGTATGGGTCCTCCATAACTGTTTTGGCTTGATGATACTTTTTACTTCGTTTTCTTCGCCTTCTTCTCCTCCTGTTATTTCAGTTTATTCTATTCTTTTAAACTTGGTAAATGCCGGTGCAAGTAACGTCTCAGCAGGAGTCACACTTTCTCAACGTGACATTCTTACACAACATGCATGGTACCCAAGTTGAGAAAATTTATTTACAACTTGACAATATGTCGCATCCTTATTGAATTGACAAGATAATTAAATCGGCTCCTCTTTCATTGCGATATTCTCATGATCATCAATCTAATACAAAATAAATAAATAAAAATAGGATCAGATTATTCATTGAAAACATCGGTTCTTTCCAGCACTAAAAATCTTGTAAGGACGATTGTGAACTTCAAGGGCAAAAATCTAGCTTGACTAGCAATAACTAAAGAGGGATATGCTCTCAAGTCCAAGGGAATGAGAGGATGACTACAGCTGTCGTTGGATCAATACAAGTTCCACAACACGCGTCTGTACATCACTTCAAGTCCAAACAAGCTTTCAAACTGCCGTCGATCGATGTAGAGGAGCTGTTCACCCCGCAATGGTTCCCGATGATCGCCAGAGCCGCTCTCTCTCTCTCCCCGCGAAAGCAGCCCTGCGCATTGGTTTCATGTTGAAGGAGGAGTTGACAAAGGCAACCCATGAAGCCATAAAAGAAGCCAAGCAGTCGATGAACAAGTCATGCTTGGATCATAGATCGGGAGTTGTGACTGCCATGTGCCACTCTTTCAAAAGCCGCTCTAAGCCACTCCAAGGACCCAGTCAAGTGGAAAATTCCACCTCCCCCCTCCGTTGAATGCTGTAGCTCTTTATTGTTTTTAAATGGCTTTGAGCTGGGTGCCCATGAGCAATGCCTGTCAAAACTCAACAGGGATTCCTCTACATACACACTGCCTCGACAATGACCCATATCTTCTTTGTTGATTTTTCGCCATAAGGAATCAGGACAGAGCTACAAGAATCACCTGAAGCCTCTTTTACTGCGATAAAAAAAATAAAATAAAAAATAAAAAATAAAAAATCTTGGTCATGACAGGTCGACGTAATCCCATCCAAGAAATTCCTTTGTGAAATGCCGGTGTCATACGAGAAGATAGTTTCGAAAGGAGCGAGAGAGAGAGAGAGAGAGAGAGAGAGAAAGCATCACAGATGCAGCCATACATCCAGCCCACCCTTGCAAGGATTCTCTCTCATCTGGGTCCACACTGCCGTCCGAATGCTCTCTCCTCCTTCAAAGGCTTTGAGGTTTCTCATGCACGGCTTGTGTTTCCTCGTACTGGAATTCTCGATATCCAACGTTTTCTCTTTTCTTTTTCTGATTCATTTATATCCGTGTGTTAATATTCACTACTTTTTTTTTTTTTTTTTTTTTTTTTTTTTTTGGAGATACAATTGCAGCTCTGCTGTGCCTGTCCCTAGTTGAAGAATTCAATTCCAGTTCAACAGAGAAGAGTTTCTGAGTTTGGAGAGGTTGCATTGGTGGTCTAGAGTGTTGGATAACTTGTGGCGATTCTGTCTAATTTTGCAATTGCGCAGTTTCGACTTGGGAAGGATTGCCCACCCAGTTTCATGCGAATGACTTGCAGATCCAAGTTGAGGACGTCTTTTTTGACAGCGTCCAGCACGAAATTGGCTTGGAATTGGGTTCAGCTGGTTGTAATTAATTTATTTCATGCGGACTGCTGTCTTCGGGAGGAAGGAAGAGGAAGAGACAACCTCCTCAGATTTTGCATCAGTCGTGATTGTTTGGACTTGACATATCTGGAAACGAATTTGCTCAGAAACGAATTGAGAATGGACGGAAGACCCTACGAGAGCTACTATTCGACGCAAAACTTCCACAACAGACGTAATCAAGGTCCTTTGTCGCGGCCGGGCACGACCTACTTTCAGGGCTTCGACGGGGAGCATTTGGCATTATGCCTCGTCTCGGCGGTTCTCATGTACGGGGCAGGCTACATCATCGCTAAGCTCTTCTTCAGCGGTATCATATTCTTCCTTTCTGTAGGCCTCATCGTCTTCTTTGTCATGCAGATCATCGATAGTTTGAATTCCGGCACCAAAACTGCGGGGTATAATAAGTCGTATTACTGAAACAATTCTGCCAGTACTTCTGTAAAGACCTTGCGACGTTCCCTAACCTGCTCATTTAAATTCTTTTTCCCAGTTTGAGGGTATGAACTCGTTAAGCTTTCTCGTTACCATTTTTCCTGGAGGAAGAGACCGTCACCTAAATTGATTTCCTGGCAGGAAGGATTGCTTGTGTACACTTTTTAATGGGTTATATTTTGGATCAAAGGATCAACCGTGGTTAATTTGTGCTTGAAAGTTCTGCTTAGTCCGGGTGTATCAAGACTAGAATTGATACTAGCATGTGGAATGTGGAAATGCATACCTCTCAGTGGACATTAAAATAATTTCCTCCTCTGCCCTCGAAACCATGCACTGACAGCAGGTGAAAGTGCTCCACGCCATAATTTGCATAGTGAAACGAAAAGCGTGAAGACAGTTGATTCATTGTAAGGAAAAGCACGTTTGTTTTCGACGACGAGACCGACAGATTGAAAGACAAGGATTTCAGATCAGCTGCGAGAAGCTCAATCAACACCCTTCGTGGTTCACGTGGATAGGATCATTGCAACACAATGGACCCATACAGAGCGCATTCTTAAAGATTCCTCCCCCCCCAACCTCAGATATTTGAGTTGACAGTGGGAGAAGGTGGGAACGTCTTACCGATTCGATAGCATACTCATCAAAAAGTCTTTATTGAGAGAGCTGAACTGTCTCCGGTCTTCAACTGTTTTCATTTCTACTGAACCCAACCAACCGTCCCTTTACCCTGCTGCTTCTAGTTCGTACTCTGCATCCAAAATGCGCGCATTCTAGTCAGTAAGAAACCATTAATCTAGTGGCAGCTTTTCATTGCTAGATTTTGCTCCTCCACGATGTTCAAGAAGTAAGAGATTGCATGTTCGACCATGATAAAACATACACACACACACACCTAGTCTCAGAGTTGCAAAGAATGCTGAAACTTTCAAGAAAAAACACCTATCCATGCTGACATAAGTCAAGGTTACCAGTACTCTTGGACAAGTCCCTTGACGCCCCTGTATTGCCGATTCACTTCTATCTTCAATGTACGGTAGTTAGATCATGCACTTTAGGAATGTTACCGGTGTAATCGAAGCTTAAAACTGATTCATCTGTCATGTTACCTCGAAATCCTGAAACTGGGTCAAACCCACCATGGGCAGTATGTTCCAAGGATGTCACCATCATAAAGTCATACCGTTGCTGAAATCACCGCAGGAAATGACCTTATATTTTGTCTCTTCTCATTTTAGCTCACAGATCCTTCAACATTGTCCCGTCCAAATTAGAAGGGACTTCACCACTCTGATTTTTCACTTTCAAGCTCTAAAGAGAGCATCATCTTGCAGCCGCAATTCACCGCGCTCCAGAGAAAGAACAAGAATATACAAGCGACCCCTTACCCAGTTGCTCATTCGCCAGAAGCAGCCAGTCGCAAATTGAAGACAAGAATCAGCCAATTTCCCAGCGCTCCATTCGGCAAAATTCTTAGAATATCCCTGGCATTGTGCATATTCAATCCAAGCACCCACCCCATATTAGAGCACACAAGGCAAACTCACCATGGCACCGAGGATGTTGCATTTATCCCCTGCGCCGAAACATCATCATCCCCCCCCCCCCCTAGATACACGGATTTCTAATCAAAGCATCCACATTCCAGTTGCGAGCGACAAAACACAAACCCAGCTGGTAAAAGTATCAGTTCTTTCATATTTAGCTCGAGGCGGATGACAAAGAAGCTCGGGAAAAATAGTTTGGCACCCCAGGAATTGAGAAAAGCCGAAGGGCATTGCAAACCACGGCACCACAGGCATCGAATGCCTTGTCCAAACGTTGTGCCTCGTTTCCATTCCTCCGCAGCCTTTTGAGTGTTTGCATTTAGCAGTCGAGGTTGTGGGGTCAGTCTGTCCCTCAAGCTTAACTCAATTTGGAGACGAGCCAGGTGGGTGTGTCGCAGCGGCGCGCCCATTTTAAGCAACCAAACTCTCCTCCGCAGCAGCTGTTGTCCCACTCGTGGTGCCGAGAGCTTCCACCAGCCCAACAAACAACAGCAGCAGCAGCAGCAGCAAAGGCCCCTTCATCTCCCCCCCCCCCCCCCACCTTTGAGCTCTCGTAGGAGTCACCTCTCTGTTGCTCCCATTGAAGGCCAAAAACAAACACACAGCGACGATCCTCACCCAGCTTCTCATTCCGCTGAAGAGATTCCTGTCAGTGATTCCTTGACAGTGAGTGCGCCATGCAATTTCTCGTCTGCGATCTCCACGTCGCTGACGTCGCATTGGCATTCCCTTTCTTCGAGGTTTTAGGGTTTTGTGTTCACTGAAAGTTTTACTTTTGTCCTCCATGAACCTTGAATGAGGGAAAGTAAACCACTTTTCAGGAAGTAAAAAAAGAAGAAGCAATACTCGATTTCATGAGAATGCTACTTTGGAGTGCTAGATCTTCTCGATTGTGCTGAATGTTTTATGTGCAAAGTGCAAAGTGATGTTTTGTGGTGTTGAACACCTCAGGGCTAACATTACAATGTAATTAACTTGTGGGACACACATGAAATAAGTGTGAAGATCTCTTCTCGGCATTTATACATTTTTCTCTTTGATGAATGTTGCATGTTGTTTCACTTGATTTAATTTGAGGAGGTGGTTTTGAATGCAATTAATACATCACATGGGTGGTGAAACACAGTATAATTGAAGAATGCCAATGTTAAGTATGTATATATATATATATATATATAAATATACACGATTTAATAAATAGTTGATAAAATAAGATAAGACGAAAGGATGTTGATATTATTGAATTCTTGACATTTTCAGCATACTTATATGCAAGTTTTAGGAAAGAATGATGCATATAAAAAAATGTGTCAAATTTGAATACCATATTAATTATGGTGTGGACAATTCAACACAACTCACATGTACTGGCATAAAATGCAAAAATCTCGCATCCTATTACTAATTTGTTCATGGTTTTTGAAAGTTCAATGTCTTGCACACCATTGATTATATAATGCACCTTATGATAGACTTTCAAGTAAATAGATCATGCATATATTGTTTTACTTAGCTTGTGCAAAACCACCATGTGACCACACTAAATTATTATCTACCATGCTTGTATCATTGAAATATTTTCAAAAACTATCAGGGTTTTCAGATCATAAATTTAACAAATCCAACAAACATGTGATGCTATTTGAAAATAAAACTTAAAAATTCGAAAAATCAATAAATAATAAATCAACAAATTTAACACACTTAGCAACATGAGATTTTAAATTGAATTCGAGGGAAAAAAAAAAAAAAAAAAACACATCATTTATAAATTTGAAACTCAATAGAATAATAATAATCTGAAAGGGAAGAAACTATTCAAATCAAATAGAATTATCCATAAATCAAACATAAAAACTCTAAGAATCACTATTTTTAAAATTCATGTGATATTTAGTTTGTTTCTATTTAAATTTCAAAATATAAAATACTCTTAATAATCTGCCTTAGTTTATTTAATAATATTTTTGCACAAAAACTTGTTATACATTACATTTTTAATATGAATTGTTATAAGATTTTTCTTTTTAATGATAAAAAAAAATTGTGAAATTTTTATTAAGATATAAAACAAAATAGTTATATTTGAGGGGAACTTCACACTTTGAAGACAAGATTAGAGGTCACAATTGTTTTTTAAATAATTAGTTGAAATTCAGAAGCCTCTTTGAGTTGGGTATATATATATATATATATATATATAAACATAACTTTAAAATCCCCAAAATGAAAAAATGAGGTGGAATAGATTTTACTCTTACATGACATGAATAGTGTTTGGTAGAAAAACTTTTTCACCCATTTTAAAGAAGTGATTATTAGAAAAAATTGAGAATCTATTGTTAAAAAAAAATATTATAATTTTTTTATATTTTCTATTATCATTATTTTTTCATATTTCTTATAACCAATATAATGAAGATATGAAAAAACACATTTGTAATTGTTATAAAAAGAATAACTTCATATAATTTATAACCTCTTCTTACTTTATACTATTTCAAAAAGCCAAGGCTTCTAAAGGTGGATTTTTCTTGAGTGAGCAAGAAACCTTGATAAGACTTTTGACCATGGCCTTCCAAAATAAACTTCTACAGTCCGCTTAAATTGAATCAAATGTAGTATTAGTATGATATAATTTTTTTCTTTCAATGCATAGAATAAAACTGAGTTTTTACAATCCAATATATATACCAAAATTTAAAAATTAAATTTCTTATTTTAACTTTAAGAGGTGCAAGGAAAACTTATACACTCATTGGAGATATGCTTGGATAAATAGCAAGAGGAAAAAATGAGAAGAATGGAAGAAAACGATTACATAACACATAATTATTAAAAGAAGGATAAATAAACAGATTTAATTTTCGAATTATCAATGGAGTCTAAAGTTTTAAAGCTATGAACTAACTGCTAAATCAAAAAATTAATGTCATATATATACGAAACTATTATGCTAACTGAATTCATTGTATAAATGAAGACTAACTAATGTTTAAGCAAATCGTATTCATAACCTTGAACAACTTAATAAATGTACCATACTCCAATGTTCAAGAACACCTTTAATTGGGAGAAGAGAGTATTGATTGCAAAAACAAATAAAACTTCTTCAAAAACTGCTTCTAATAATAATGGTATTATTTTATACTCTTCCAAAACTCAACTATATGTTAATTTCATAACCTCAAACCCTCAAACAATTCCGCCACAGTGAATAGGTGCATATATAAAGGACAAGAAGGATAAATGTAGTCTAAATATACATCACTAATTAAGACAAGAAAGCAGGGTTTGTTATCGAGCTGCACTGCACTAAACATCCAAATCTTTGTGGACGTTTCCGATCCGGTTCCATCACGGGTATCAATTGTCAAGGGGGTAGTATCACACAGGGTATCAATTCATCCTTTTTTGAGTTCCAATGTCACCATATGCTATTAAATACACCAATCACCCTCTATTTCTATTTCAAAGGCCTTGAAAGGATAGGTGGGTGGGTGAGAGAGAGCCCATGCCCATGCTTTGGATCATGTTCAAGACGTTGTTATCCTCCATCTCATTTATTAATAATGTTTGAACTTACTCACTTCCATACACACACAAACATATATATATATATATATATATAGACGCATTCATACACTCTAGTAATCAAACCAAGGGATGTTACTAATAGCAGCCAATAATAAATAAATAGTGGAAATGATTAGTTAAATAAATGATTAGTTAATAAATAAATAGTGGACATGGAGTTAGTTCTGTTGGCAATGGTAAATCTCAAAACTCTTCTATTCACATGGCACACACAATCTTTTTCTACTATGTTTAATTGTAATGGAAAGTACAAAGAAAAATGAAGTAATTTGTGTCTAAATATTGAAAACAATTTTAAACTTTTTAAGTTTAAAGTTTTGCAACTTTGGATTTCATGCCAAGTGTAAACATGCAATTTTATATCAGAAACACAAGTTTTAAAAGAAAAAGAAGCAGCAGCAGCAGCAGAAGAAGAAGAAGAAGAAGAAGAACAAAATAATGATATATATATTTATCTATTTGGTTTATTTATTCTAAATTTATCATTAATTGAATTATCATGCCATTGTCTCTTATCATTAATATATTTTTATATCATTATATTTATTTAAAACTTATATTACCAAAATCTCCAAAATATCTTATAGCATAGGATATCCTATTGCAAGAAATACAGGATTTATTGTGATAGGATAGACTATACACAAATATGAAAGTATATGTTTAATTTATTTTAGTCATTTCATATCAAATAAGTCTTAATAGTATTTGAATTGGAATATTTCAATCCTTGACTTGTGTTGGTTTATTACTATATACATATATATATATATATATATATACAGATACTTCATTGCATCAAAGAAATATTGAATTTCGAAAAACTAGGCATAGTTTTTATTATTTTATGATGTTCAACACATTAATTGAAGGGAAATAATAAAAAAATCAAATAAAAATTAATTATCTATATCACTGAAAATAAATAAATTTATTTTTTATTTATTAAATCCACCCCCTCCTCCCAGCCTGAGATTCTTTCCATCACTGGAAGAATCCAAAGTGATGGGAAAGAGGATTAACATGGGCGGAGAGGGGGGGGGCATTTACTCCACCGAAGGATCACGCTCCACTCCCACGTGAGGCAAGGCGCAAGGTTGGGGGGGGGGGGGGGGGAGGGGAGTATGTTATGTATTCCTGCATTTGTCTAAGTTGGTGAAGCCGGATCCCACGGATCTCATTCTTTGGAGCCCGCTTTGATGTCCCCGCACCGAATGGAAACCAACACGTATGCAGCCATTAGTGTCGATGTTACATTATTAGCCCTGGGGGCAGTTCATGTCCTCGTAAGCTCGTCTTCATCCACCTCGGCATTTGCTACAACACACCAAATTTTTCGAAGGAGTTCTAAAGAGGAATGGGTTTTGGCGTGCGAGTGGTTGTCATGTTGCAGGGATGGCTCGGCCCCCTCTCCCCTTCCATTGCCAGTATGGGTTGCCATCCACGGAAGGGCATTGAATGTAGAGTGAGTTCATGTGACTCTGTTAGAAATTTTAAACAGAGATGGCGCCTGACGAGTCACGGAAGGTAAGTGGTGGTCTTTCTTACTATTCTTTGGTTCCGGGGGGGGGGGGGGGCAGAGTTCGGTAACTCTCATGAATAGAGGGACAGGCGTCTGCGGTGATGAATGTATCAAAAGCTTTTTCAGAAGCCACGGTAGAAAAACACAAAAAAAAGAAACCTCAATCACTTGTGCAGCCACTAGGGGATGGCGAATTGATTTGCACACTCGCAGTCTTTTAATGCAATAGATTCTCATGCTTTGCAAGGGTGGCAAGTGGGCTCGGTGCACTCGGGGCAAGTCGTTCATACTAAACGATGGAACAAAAATTACTGAACCGTCCTCTTTTCTTACATTGTAAGCGAATATTGAGAGGGGATATTGCAAGGGAGTATTTTACTTGGAATGGGAGGGGATTGCTGACTGTAAGCCCGAACAGGAAGCCGAAATTATCCGTGACAGATAGGTACACCGCTGTGTGGTGCATCTCAGTGAGGGATGACAAGCCCGAGTTGCATTAAGTATTTTTATATATTTTAATGCTGCTTCCGTGGCACATACCGTTGGAATAGTTCCCCAGCGCTGAGCATCTGAGAGGAAGAGTCCAACGAGAAACTTCTCCCGCTCAGCGAGAGTTGATTTGTTATTTCACAAGTGTTTAGTTTTGGAGAACTATAGCAACATCATATCAGAATCAGCGCCTCAATAGAAATTACAAATCGGAACTCTACAGAGGTTGTCCCAAGTTCTCATTGTCCATTTTGAAGAGACGGGAAGATATATGCGGCTTATCTGGACTCTGCTTCAGGTCTTTTTTTGTGCAAAACATGTTGCATATGCGCTCAAAAAATTAGAAACACGACGAAGGAATGGAATAACCGAGTAGGTACTGAGCTTAATGTCCGAAGCCCCATTTGTCCCCGGTCCAGGTTTGCCGGGTGTAAGCATGATTTAGTTTTTTGAATTTCGGCCTCCAAATCTTTTCATGATCGACAACAGTTGCCCCGTGTGGTAATTTCCTGAAGACCACCATAGTGCGATTTTCAGTCCCAGTTAGATGCCTCGGTTGCATGCACATTATAGGCGAGTCCGATACTAGCTTTCCGGAAAAAGAGTTCGAGAAGGGTCAAGCCGGGATTGGAGATTCGGAATCTCGAGATCAACTGCCTAGCGATCCAACAGTGGAGAGCCTGAGGATCAAAATTTTGTTTCGATTTGCTTTTTCGTTTTTCGTATTCTTGTGTACACATCAAATCCTTGTTCTGATTTCGATTTTAGTTTTCGTTCCATCCACGAAATTTCGGATGAAGAGGATTTTCGCGCTCTGGATCCGTCGCGATTGCCGGGGAGCGAAGACAACCTATATTGGGCGATGAAGGTGGGTGGCATAATTGACTCATCGAAGTCGTGTAACCAACCGTGTGGCAAATGATCAGCAATTATAAGAATATGGAGAGCGTGCAGCAGTCAGAGTGCAAGCATCCCCGCCTTGTCATTATGAGCCAGCTTGCCTTCTTCCTTGCGATTCCTTCGCCTCCTCGCTCGCTCTTGCCACCCTCACCCGGCCGCACAGTAGTCCAACCACCCCGTCCTTCTTTCCAGCCTTGCGGATTGAGGATAATGCACTCTAATATTACGTCCTTCCTCTTCTCCTCCCAGATCATTTAGTTCTCCCCACGCCTCCTGCTCTAGTTTACATTCTCCCATTCTGTGCATTTTCGTCCTGGCTCTCCCATTTCTCTCTTCGTTTGAAGTGATTATAAGTCCATTTTGGATTCTGGCGGGGATTCGTGGCGAATTGGACTGGAATGAGATCGTTGAGCAGCACGATTATCATTCAACATGAGGGACGACTCTATGGTGTTTCTTTAAAAAAGCAAATTGGAATGGGAAACAACTGACAGAATATTGAGCAATATGAGCTTCAGAGTGTGGTTGACGGAGTAGAGTAAATAGTTGGGTGAAGTAGGGACTGATACAAAAAAAAAAAAAAAAAAAAAAAAACGATCTCAGAGTCTTTGAACTAGCTTGGAAAGAGAGTTTGAACGGTTGATAGGTGTGTTTGAAGGAGGTATCGAAACTTTTGCTTCTGCATCGGATTGTTTGCGATAACTGTGGTGAAGGTGTGATTGAAATTTATACTGAATTCTGCTGCTTAGCATTTGCGATGCGTGAGCTGGATAGGAGAGCAGGTTAGCATTGCAAACATTCAGGAGTCGAGGTTGCTGGACCTCAAATTGTAGGGTTTCGATATTAGCCATTGAATCCACCATGGCAACTTTGATGTCCCTATCCGAACGGGAAAGGCTGCCCAGCCTTTCCAAGCGATGTGTGCAGACGAAGTCGAATCTCGTGAGAAGTCCGAGGTCGGTATTGCTGCCGGAGTCGCCCGGAGGTAGTTCAATCGAGTCTAGCTCCCTGGCCAGTTCGATCCTCGGGGATCAGATCGTGGAATGCACCAGCTTTAGGAACCCATCGAGGAGTGACAATAGTAAGTCTGAAGCAAGCTTTGAGCAAGTCGACAACTACACATGGTGAGTCTTCTGGGGTACTCAATGCGATGATTGTTCACTCAATGGCGTTTCACATTCTTCTGACGTAGAAATATGACTTACGCATACCGATTCTAGTGCATTGGTTGAGATTGTGAAAAAAGAAGCTGCTAATTTGAGTCTCTGTAAGAACGGTCGCGATTCCGACGTTTCAATGCCTGAACCAACGCCGATGCTCTGTTAGTTTCAGGTTTGTATCAATTGATCGGCCGAGCGACTTGCTTGTGGAAGTTGGCGACATCTCATTTCATCTTCACAAACTCCCTCTCTTGTCAAAGAGTGGCCTTCTCTTCAGGCTAGCATCACAGTCTTGTGACACAAGAAAAGCACATGTCAAGCTGGTGGATATGCCAGGAGGAGCTGAGGGGTTCATTTTGGTTGCTAAGTTCTGCTACGGCATTGTGGAAGAACTCACTCCTACCAATATCGCTACCATTCGCTGCGCTGCGGAGTATCTCGAGATGACGGAAGCGTTCGAGGAAGGGAATGTAATCAGTAAAGCTGAAGCCTACCTCAATCTCGTTATCTTGAATTCCTGGCAGGAGGTAATCATTGTCCTTCAATCCTGTGAGCTCCTCCTACCTTGGGCCAAGGACATGAATTTGGTGAAGAGATGCGCCGAGTCTGTTGCGCAAAAGACTTTCACAGATCCACGAAGTGTTCGGTGGCTTTACTCTGGAATTGAGAAAAACAGCATGACGGCTTCGGCACAGAGGAATCCTCTGGAAGCGTTGGTCACTAGGGTCGCGCCCAAAGATTGGTGGTACGAAGACGTCTCACACTTGACAATCTACTGTTTTAGTGAAGTCGTGGATGCTATTAAGGAGAATGGTATGCAATCGGACCTTCTTGGAGGCGCCTTGGAATATTATGCTCAGCGATGGTTGCCAGGCTTAATCAAAGCAGAGCAGCACAATGTCTTTAGTAAAGACACCAGCATTCCTATTGCTGCATCCACAAGAAAAAACTCGCCGATCTCATCACCCCCGATTAAAGACGGAAACGTGATTTTAATCTGTCCATCTAAGGGCACGGGGGAAGATAAGCCCGCTAAGTTACATGAGTCTATAGCGGAGCAGAGTAGGAATCGCTTTATCCTCGAGGAAATAGTAAGCATGCTGCCCCAAAGAAAAGATGCGGTCTCCTGCAGTTTCTTGCTAAGGATGACGCGTGCGGCGTGCATGTTGAATTGCGACCTTGACTGTAAGGCGGATTTGGAAAGACGAGTCGGTCTGCAGCTTGATCAAGCAACTTTAAGCGATTTGCTTATTCCTAGTTTCTCTAACACCAGTGAATATTTGTTTGACATCGACATTGTGCGCCGAATCTTGGATCATTTTTTGACACAGGTAGGCCTCGTCCTGGTTTTTCCTTGTGAAAAAGGCAACCTTTAGAGCGCGATTAGAAGATGTCGTAATCAAACTTTGAAATTTCATTTTTAGTTGGTTCAAATTCTGAACTAATCCAGCTCGTGATGAAAATTGTAGGAGCAAAGCGACAGTCCAAGAACTTGCTCAGGTGACAAAAGAGCACAGACTATTTACGATGGCACTCTAGCAGGGAGTCGACAACCGCCTCTAAATTTGAGAGCAAAAGTAGCTAAACTACTAGACGCCTATCTTGCCGAAGTGGCTAGGGACAGTAAACTCCCTTTGACGAAATTTCACTCTCTCGCCGAAGCGCTTCCCGAGGGTTCAAGGTTGTGCGATGATGGACTCTATAGAGCAGTCGACACTTATCTCAAGGTTGGCTTTCTTGGAAAAGAAAATTATATGATCCATTGCTGAACTTGTATGCGCACGAACTTGCTCAGACTTCTCTTAACCTTGACGAAGTCTAGAATACTTTTGAAGTCATACTGATAATACGCGCGTGTATGTCATGGGGATTGCAGATACATCCGACCTTGGCCGAGCACGAAAGGAAGAGACTGTGTCGGATCTTGAACTGCCATCGCCTTTCACTTGATGCGTGCACGCACGCTTCGCAGAACGAGCGATTGCCACTCCGTTTTGTAGTTCAGGTTCTCTTCTGCGAGCAACTCAAGATTCGAAGCACGGTTACTGAAGTCAGTAATTCAGTGAAGGATAATCTTAGTGAGGCTGATAACTGTAGTATTATTCTCAAGGAGCCTACTTCCACGTCTCAGCAGGGGGCAGATCAGGAGAATGTTAACCAAATGGAAATTAGAGCATTGAAACGTGAACTTGCAAGCATGAAAGAGAAGTGCAATGATCTGGAGAGAGATCAGGGTAGCATTCAAGATCAGGTACTGGTGGCAGCATTGTTCATTATCTATGATTGGATAATTTTGAAACTTTGTTTCTCTTCTCACATTGCTCATTGCTCCTTTGATCATCTGTGGAATTCGGCCTTCGCAGGTGCAACAAATAGCTACAGTTTCCAGGGGGCGTCCCTCATCGTGGTCGTCAGGAGCGTGGAAAAGGATCACCAAACTACATCTGTTCAACAGGAGCAACCAGAATGACGAAACATCGTCCACCGAGTCGCGCACGGAGCGCCGCAGGTGGAGGAACTCCATATCTTAGAGATCTATAGCCATGTAACTCATACATCCCTCGTAGGTCTGTTCATAATGCCAATTACGTGATCGTTCCTTAGCAGATTGAGATTGGACAAGCACAAGACATTTTAAAGCACAAGACATTTTAAACGGCAAGCGGATATAGATTTTTTCTCTTTTTTCTTCTTTTTTTAGATTTTCATGTAACCTGATAACTTCCAGAACAATTGCATACTTGGTCGTGGATGTCAGAGAATTGAGGTTTGATTTCAGAACCCAGGTCTGTCGATCTTCGTGAACACCGTTGCGTGTTCTCGTGGCAATTTGCTACGAACTACTTTTGAGAACTGAAACTTGAATGTACACATATGTCTTCTTTTTCACTTCTACAATTAACAAAAGAAGCTTCCTCATTCCACCTGACACCGAGAAAATCTCGTTGCATGTGTTTCGCAGTTAGACCCCACTGGTTTTCTATGTAGGTGCATGCATCAGTAGCAATAGTTGATGCCTCTCCTCGCAATGTGGTGAGCCAGAAAGCAATGGATGTATTGGTCCCAGTCTCTAATATTTCTAATATGGACGTTTCCACTTCACTAAGCCCTTCATGGTGCCACATCCCGACATTAGCTGCCGCAGTTTTTTGTAGCGAATTTAAACTTCCTTCCAAATAAAGCAATTAGGGCTTTTTTCTGCCGGCGCCATGAGTTTCTTTAATTTTATGCCAATCATCACCAGCAAGTATTTTATAGCTTGCCATCTTTACGAGCTCGGCACCACAAAAGTAACGTCTATATTGTGATTACTTTTTTTGAATTCTTCTTCATTATTATTTTTGCTGTTTTCGGAATTTCAACTTCCAGGCAATTTTTTTTATGTGTCTGTTCAATTTTGAAAAGTTGTGGAAGTGGACTTTGTTGCTGTGCGCAAAAATTGTATCAAAATATCAAGCATTTAATTGAACAAACTGCAATACACGAGCGTTAGTGGAAAATTATATTTATTCTCAAAAATTTCATAATGTTGTATCTTGATTTAACCTGTGCAAATTATGTAATGACATAATAGTTGTTTCAGTGAATAATATTTTTTTTATTGTAAATTACTTAATTTAATATATGTATTTGTAGGGTTTTCACTAATAAAAAAAACTTTTGCCAAATACATATACATTTGATTTATATCTAATTTAGTTACAATTGTGTTATTTATTTATTTATTTATTTATTTTAAATTCATGCCATTTTAAAAAAAGATTTCAGAAGTGTTTGTATTTTACAACCAAATGACATATATGTGAGCCATTTCATTATAATAAATACTACATTTCCAATTTTTTCTACACTCTATTTAAAATGTTACTTACTTATATGCAAATTGAATATTTAAATCTTATTTCTTAATTATAAAATAAAATAAAAATTATATTATATATTTTGTAATGCAACTAATATGCAATATTTCTTTTTAGTTGTACATACAAAAAATATTAGAAAAATAAATAAGTAACCAAAGCTAACAATGATGAATAGATGCATTTGGTTTATTTTGAGATATTACTAAACATTGAGAGAAAATGCTTTAAAACTGTTCAATCTAAAATCATATTAAAATATACTACCAAGGATAAAATATAAAACATATTAAAAGTTATGCAATATTTTATTATAATTTAATTTCTTTTATTGCATCAATTTTTTATATACCTAAAAAATTATTATTATATATAATTTATTCAAAATAATTGCATGAAGACATGTAAGTGTGTGCTACAAAGAATATTAATATTGATGCTAGAATTTTAAAAGCTTGGAATTCTAAAACCTTGATGCTACTGAATTCTAAAACCTTTTAATCCAATTATTTTAGGATTATCGTGGTTAGAAAGATATAACCATCATATAGATTGGATTTCTCACAATCTCAATTTTTTCCATAGTTTAGACCAAGGTGCTACTTGGCAAGTAGAAATCCATAAGTTTATTATATCCAAATTCTTATTGGAAGGTGTAAAAACTTTCATGCATGCCGCAAATGAAGGACCATCTTTTGCTATATATGCTACGCCCATTATTGATGGTGAAAAGATATCATGTGATATTCCTGGCAAATATCAAGATTTCTAAGACATTTTTGAAAAAAAAATACAAATATTCTTTTGGAGCATCATCTTTATGATTGTACTATCAATCTTCAAGAAGGAAGTCAACCAATATTTAGACCAATCTATAGCCTATCACAAAATGAATTGGTTGTAGTTAAAGAGTACATTGATGAAAACTTGGCTAAGAACTTCATATGCTATTCTAAATCTCCAACCTAAGCTCTTATCTTATTTGTGAAGAAAAAATATGGATCTCTGTGGATGTATGTAGACTATCGAGGACTCAACAAGTTTATAATCAAGAATAGGTATCTTCTACCTTTCATTTCAAGACTTCTTAATCAACCAAATCAAGCAAAGATCTATACAAAAAGAAGATCTACGGGGAGCATATAACCTGGTCCACATCAAAGAAGGAGATGAATAGAAGATTTCTTTCCAAACTAAGTATGGACATTTTGAATATAATGTCATGCCTTTTGTATTCATAGATGCAATAGCTACTTTTTAATAATTAATAAATGATGTCTTTTATGAATTTGTTGATGATTTTGTCATTTGTTATTTAGACAACATTTTAATTTATTCTAAGAACATAGAAGAGCATGAAGTTCATATTCGTCATATGTTACAAAAACTAAAAGATGCAGGATTATACGCAAAGATGAAAAAGTGTGTAGTCTACACTACTCAAGTTGGCTTTTTGAGATATATCATCTCCAATGAAGGCCTTATCATGGATACAAAGAAGGTCCAAACTATCATAGATTGAAAGATCTCAAGAATAGTAACAGTTGTGCAATGCTTTTTGGACTTTGCTAATTATTACCAAATCTTTATCAAGAATTTTTCTCGATTTATAGCTCTACTTACACATTTGATTTGTAAAGACAAACTTGAGTAGAATAAAGAAGCCGAAGTATTATTTGTTGCTTTGAAGAAAGAATTTACTTGTACACCAATTTTATATAGTGTCAACTTTTCTAAGGCATTCTTTATGGAAACAGATGCATCACACTTTGCCTTGGATGCAATATTGTTACAAATGGGAACAGATGACAAACTCCATCTAATAGCTTTTCATTCTAAGAAATTTTCAATAGTCGAGATTAACTATGAGATCCATAATAAAGAACTTCTTGTAATTGTCGATTCATTTCAAGAATGGCATCATTATCTAGAAGGCGCTTGAAGTTCAGTCACAATAAAAAATAAATCACAAGAACTTTGAGTATTTCATGTTGGCATGTATTTTGAATTGTTGCTAAGCTCATTGGAGCATGTCATTATCAAGATTTGATTTCAAGATCATATATTGATGTGAAAAATAATAAGATTTATTAGATGTTCTTTTTAGATGCTTTTATCTTGCACCAAAAGAAAGAGACGTATCTTTTGATCAATAAAAAATAATCCTCTTCAAGCAAGAATATTTTCATCTTCGAGCAATGAAATCAATATTGACTATTGATTCAACCTTTGTCAAATAAATTTAATCAAGTATGTCCTCTAATCCTCTTATTTATGATATCAAGAATCTTTCTTTTAAGTCTCATGGTATTTTAGAGTTGAAGTTCAAGTACAACCTTCTCTATTTTGAAGGACGCTTATATGTTCTAGAAAGAGAAGCATGTTTATGTGTTCTTCAAGCACGTCATGACTTTTCAGCTACATGACATTTTGGATGCAACAAGATTCTAGAATTTATATCTAGAGATTTTTGGTGGCTACAAATGTGGAAGGTGGAAAAATACTTTGTCCAGTTATAAGACATTTGTTCAAGATCGAAAACTCCTCGTCATTGATCTTATGGACTTCTTTGACCATTACCTATATCTGAACAATCATGGTCTCTAATTTCTATGGATTTTATTATAGATCTTTTAAATTCAAGTTCATATGACTTTATATTTGTAATCGTAGATTGCTTCATCAAAATGGCACATTTTGTACTATATACAAAATCTATTTCAAGTGAAGAAACAACCAAGCTTTTTATTGACAATATTTATTGCTATCTAGGATTGCTAAAGGATATTTTATCAAAAAAGGGGACTCAATTTATATCAAGATTTTGGAGAATCCTATTTAAGATTTTAAAAGTAGATATAAAGCTCTCTTCAACTTTTCATCCTCAAACTAATGAGCAAACGAAATGGGTGAATTAAGTTCTAAAGCAGTATTTGAGGTGTACCATCAACTATCATCAAGATGATTAGACAATTCTTTTACAATTGGTAGAGTTTCTATACAATAATTTGGTACATTCTTCTACTCAACAAACATATTTCTTTGCCAATTATGGTTATTATCCACAACTTGATACTTTTGACTTTTCAAAAGTTGATAATCCTACGGTGGAAGAATTAAAAAATTGTTTGTCAGAGCTACATGCAATAATCAAGATACAATTAAAGGAAGCTTAAGAATGATACAAGATCAATTTGGATGCCTGTCGCAAGGAGCAACTATAATGCAACAAAGGTGACAAGGTATAATTACTTTTTCACAATATCAAGACTATTCATCCTTATAATAAGTTGGACTATTGTAGGCTGAGACCTTTTCCTATTTGTAAACAAATCAATCCTATTACTTATCAATTACGTCTATCAGAGTCTATGAAGATCCACCCTATATTTCATGTATCCCTTTTTGAGCCATATAAGATAGTGAATATCTCGAGAAGAAGACAAATGCCACCTCCTCTTATAGAAGTGGATAATAATCAAGAATTCGAGGTAGAAGAAGTCTTAGACTCAAGGCAGTGCCAAAATAGGTTAAAATATCTTGTTGATTGGTGTGGATATGATATTAGTAAATACACATGGGAGCCATCAAAGAATCTTGCAAGTACAGCAAAGAAAGTTGAAGCCTTTTATCGACAACATCCATCAAAACCAAGATAAAGAATTACAAAGATCTATGAAAGATGATGATTGCTTCTTATCGAACTTATCCTTAGAAGAGGAGGTAATATCACAGATATATACATTTACTCTAATAGTTACTTATATAATTAGAAAGAAGTAAGTAAATATATATTAATTTTATAAAATCTTTTAGAGAAGCTTTTTAGAAGCTTCTTAGATGCAGTTTTGACTTTAGATGTGTTTGTAGGATAGAAACTTGGCCAACAAGTTAACCACATATTAGTAGCTTATAAAAGAAGCTAACTATGTGGTGCACACATAGATAACTTGCCTTGCAAGTTAAGACATGTAGCTAGCAAAGTCAACACATGTTATAGGTCCTATATAATATTGCCATTTAGGTCCTAGTAAGAGAGTATATATAGAGGTAAGAGTGAAGCCTTTTT